GGGGCGAGGCGGGGCGTGGTGGCATTATCAAAGCCCTCGCACCACTTTGCATAGCGGCTGCAGGGTCAGTGTATCTTTCCCTTTTCTTATATCACAGACGACTGCTGCTGTCGCCATGATAGCAATGACCAAAAAAAAAGAAAGAAAAAAAAAGGGCAAGTAGTGAAATAATAAAATGCTGTAGGATAACGGGAAACAAACCATTTTTTCTGGCCTTTTTTTTTCTTTTCCAATGTTTTTTTTTCTTTTCCTTATCGCGCTACCTTTCAGCAATGTGTCGTGTGCAGCGTGCCGCATAGCATGCGCCGACAGACAACAAAACAAAGCGTGCGTATGCAGATTCGGATTTTTCGGAAACTAATTGTTTGTCTGGTGCAATGTGTGTGTATGTGTGTGTGTGTGTGTGTGCCGTGCTGCTCGTCCGTCCGGTCGAAGCCCCGCCCCGCCCCGCCCCGCGCACAGCTCCGTGCTCTTTTGTTTCGGCAGCCCATTGACTTCCTCTCCCGTTTCGTGGAGGCCGCCGCCAGCGCAGCAGCAGCGCCCGGATAGATCGCACATTTGCGCTCCCGTGAGCAGCGTGGCAACAAAAACAGATGCGGGGCGCGGCCGGGGCGGGCGGTGCGGGCGGGCGGTGCGCAGATGGGCGGGGCGTGGCGTCTCCACGAAGAGCAGCAGCATAGCGATGCAAGTGCCTGCCGGAAGGACAAAAGTCAACGGGACACCCCCGCCCCCTTCCTTGCATATGACCACACATGCGCCGCCGCCGCCGCCGCCGTCCGTTTGGAAATTCTCCGTAAACTATATACGGAATAAACTGCATACTGCCATGTTGACGATAATTCTTGTCTCGCCTCGTGGAAACCTTTTTAGTCGGTCTCTTATGTAAGACTTGGTTTATTTCTGTATTTGAAAGAACCGAGAGAGTCGTACGCGATGTGCGCGTGCAAGAGGCACCCTCTTGGTGCAGCTGCAGGTGCGCCAGTAGGTGCGCAGGTGCACCTGCAGGTGCGCCAGTAGCTGCGCAGGTGTCCCCGGATCAGCCCCGGGGGTGTTTCGGAGGACCCCTCCCGTTTGCGGGTGGCTACCTGGTGGCCACCTGGTGGCCACCTGATGGCCACATTCGCACCGCGGTGACCCGTGCGTTGGCGCGCTTGGTATCGAGTGGGGCGCCCCCGCCTCGTCCAACGACCACCTCGCCGGCCACTTTGATCGACCACTTTCCGACCGTGTTCCTTTCAAGTGTGTGGAAATCGAAGCAGTATGTGTCCAGTTGCTCGCAACCCCCACCCCAACCCCTCTGACCCATAAGCCCCATATGTTGACCACAATAGAAAGTTGTTTCTATTTGTTTATTATTTTTTGTTAAGGGAATTTACTTCTTTAATCGAGATGAATTGCACATGCGTATCCCGCTCCCGTTAACCGATTTTCGACTTTCAAGTATCGGTTGCGGTTTGTTTTTCGACCCCTAGGGCGTTGGACCACTCGATGGTCACGGTTTCGGGTGTCTGCCGCGCCCCAGGTCGGATGCACCGGCCGCGGCCGCGCTCCGTATGGGCTCCCTCGGCGTCCTCCTCCTCCTCGAGCTGTGTAGGCCGGCCGGGGGTGGGGCCCAGGCCGAACCCCTCACCGGGCGCGGGAGCGGCGGCGGCGCAGCGGCGGGTAGGGCGCAGCGAGGTCACTCTAGCCCCCTCCACCGCCGCCCCCTCCAGCCCGAGC